AACAGAATTCTGATGTACGAGAACTGGGCGGGGCCAGACAGAACCCATCATGTTTGGTGGGGAAGGAGCTGAGCCGAGCGAGAAGAGGACCATCAAGCAGCACATTGGAGGCCAGCAGATGCCATTTGTTTGTTTTTTCCACGTCACTTATCTTGCATCACACTTTACTGGGCGCTCCTCTCCAGCTGGACTCAAACTCGTCGTATAAAGTTGGAGGTAAATAGCAGGTCGCCTTTAAAGGGAAATGTTAGTTTGCTTTCTGATAGTTTGGTTGGATGAAAACCCTACAGATAGCAGCTTCTACCTCTGCTGTTGCCAGGTAGTACCAGCAGGGAGAAACCATAAACAGTTTTACAACAATATTTATCCATTTATCAGCTGTATAGTTGCAGTCATGTGGACCGGCGCTCTGTCTGGTTTATATCATCCAAAGTCTATCTACTGTTTCAGATTTCTGATTAAATGTGACGCATTTCTGAAAATGAACTGATCCTAACCTTGATTACATAAAAAACAAACAAAAAAACAATGAAAATAAAATAAAAAAAAACATAGGTGTAGCACTCTAGTAGGTCATAAAAGGATTTTTTATTTTTTGCAATAGATTTTAGATTCTCTTCCTTTCAAATAGAGAAACTGTTCTTCCACTTAAAGGTTACGATAAGTAGTGTGACCGAACCACTGAGTCACAGTCAATAGAACCGATCACATTTTTAGATGTATTAAAACCACCAAACCAAACTCTCTGACCTTTTAGTTTTCTGCAAGCGTCATTACGTTTTTATAGCAAACCACTATTCCCATATGCGTCTAAAAATTACACACAATATTTGTCTATCTTTAAAACAGTTTGCAGATTTCACTCAAACTAAATCATACCTAAGATATGAGCTTCTTTATAATTTCTTTAATATATAGAATTGCTATAAAAATACATCAGTTTAACAACATTGATATAAAATGGTTTTCTTCCAAGCATAAAATGATAAAATGGGGATCAAGAGACTTCTGTAAGCCCCTCTTCTATCATCCATCTCTGTCAGAAAGCAAATATTTCTCTGAAAGGGCGGCCTCTTCCTCATCTCTGCACCAGTTGCTGTCTGTATTTGCACATAAGATAAATGAAGCGAATTATATGTACTCAAATGCATATAACTACAGTAGGCAGGTTAGAGGTGGTAGGATGATAATAATAATAATGGGGGTGTTTGTTTATCCTGGCCTAAATGTAACCATTGGTGTTATAATCAACATTAAGTGACCTTAATCCTCTGAATCTCCTTCTGCCCAATCGGCACACTGTATTCCATGTGTTGATTATAGTGTTGAGACTCTGTTGCACAAAGTAGCTTTAATTTATTGAAGCTTTTTGTTGATGTTGGACTCCACAGGTTATTTTTTCCTCCTTTGAAGATGTAGCAGGAAACCTTGCTGTTGACAATGAGGGGTGGGGGGGGGTGTAAGGCTCAACTGGGGAAGTTGTTTTAACATAAAATCTCGTTTTATTCCAGGAATAGTGCAATCCCCTTCTGCCGACGTGCTTATGTTGGTTTAGTGTTAAATCGTCAGTCTCCTTTTGTTTCATCCAAATGCAGCACTTTTCTTTCAGAAAACTATCCAGAGATGCACCGATCAGGCTTTTCTAGGCCGGTACCGATTTCTCATTGTCCCCCCCTCCTCGCTCGTTTCCCCTCTCTTTTTCTCTCAGGACTATAAAATATGAGAGGAAAGAAAATATGCCGCAGGTTTGTCGTTTTTAAAGCCAACAAAGCCAATTAAATGCAACATTTTTCTTATTTATGCACCACAGGATCTCGCCAAACATTTATTAGATATTTTTTTAACTCCAAAGAAAAGTGCATCACTGTAAATGCTGCATAATGATGCATTGATGGACTGAAGAAGGGTAGGAGTTCTTAGTTTTGCTTTATTAATTTACTGTGGGGGATCAGAAGTATGGCCAACTGATTGGTGCATCTCTGCTTATATAATCTTGGTTGATGTTTAACATGATGCATTTCTTGAGATTGTGATTATCTTAGAATTAATTTCTTTCTTTAAGCTTATATCAGATATAAACTATCTTAGGAAAAACTTTAGATGGAAACACATTAAATGCAGTTCTGTATATATTTATAAACATCCAGAAAACTGAGCTTATTTTAATCTCAACTAGTCGTAGATAAATGTTGGGTGATGCTAAAACTCACTTTAGGAGGATTATTCTGTACAGACGGGTATGTTTATGAAATACGAAGTGTAGACTTCTCAAAAGTATCATTTAATTTAGATTCCCCCTTACTTTGTTTGCTTTCCACAAATCTGAATGTTTGGAAGAAGCTCTGAAGAGGAAGGTCAGTTTTATCTTAGCCAGGCAAGTGTTTTCTTACAGAAACTGAACAATAAAATTATTTTTTTTTTTCTTTAACCAAAAACTGCTCATTTCTTTATCCTGCAGTTTCACTGCATTTTATTTCAGGTTGCAGCTGCTGCACAAAACTAACATATCTGACCTAAATAAAAATTGAACTGATCATATTTAGTCTTGTTTTCTCCTCTTTTAATCTTCCAAATGTGAACTTGAAGTAATAAGTCTAATTTTCTATTGTAAATCATTGAGTTATATACAAAAACCTGTTGAAATAAAGGAAAAATGTGAAACAAGGTGCTGTTTGTAATTTTGCTAAATACTGTTTTGGGTTTTAACTCAACTTAAACTTTAATGATATCAAGTAATAATCTTGGGAATCATGTAAAGGTTGTTTTCATGCAGACTGATGCATCTTATTAGCTTTAATTTATCTGTAAATGACTAAGACTGAGATGAGCCAAATGTTCCCATCTCTGGCCAAACCATGAGTCACATCAACATGCAGACCTCACAGGTGGAAGCAAGCCCGTCACTACTGGCTATCATCATATCTAACATAATGGGCCTCATTCACCTATATGGAGGCGACTGAGGGGAAACTGACAAACATCTCGCCTCTGAAGCTTTGACAGGAGTCGGTTTATAAAAGTAGAGGCTGGAATGAATAGATTTAAAGACAATTCAAGTACAGCTAAACTTTTCATCCTCCAGTTTGGTTCGGCTTCAAACATCCAGTTTTAAAAAATGCATATATTTATAATAACATGACTACAGTGCACCATCGACGTAGAGAGGTGTTAATTATTGTATGAAAGTTTTGAGAACCACTTATCTGAAACGGCAAAACAAGTCTTTAAAATGTTTTATACCTTACCCTCTATAGTTGGAAAAAAACAAATGACACTGCTACAGTGACATTTTTCCTGCAGCTATAAGGTGCTGCAAGAGTCTTTGGAACTGAAACAAGCTATTTCTCCTATTTCAGCTATTGGTATTGGCTCAAAGTTAAATCTGAACCAAATTTAAGCATCCCCCACACAAAGCTCTAAAAATTTAAGCATCATATAATAAATCTGACTGTTCTTTGTTTCTAACTGAGCACTTTGCTCCCAGACTGCAACATTTACAGGTTGTTCCTCGAGTTTCCAAAAGGCTTCTCTATTTTAGAACTCACAATTTCAGTTATTGAAGCTGGCCCCTGTATACTGTCAACACAAGGCTTTAAACTCTTCTCTTTGAGAAAGCTTATAGTAAGAGGAGCTCAGATTATCCTGAACCATCTGTGTAGTTATGCTACTATAGACTTGGGCTGCTGGAGGACAAAGGTTACTTTTCCTCTCTATCTTGTACTTCTCTCTAGTTATCCACTATGTGCATTTATCATTGACATAGCTATAGGTTGTGACTTCCTTTTGTTATTCATTTAAGTTTCAGCTGTGAAAACTTACTGAAAAACTAATCCACTGGTTGAGCTTCTGCTTCCATATTAAGATATGTTCCCAATATCAGTATATATGCTGCTCAAAAAGGTAAAGGGAACACTAGAATAACATCCTAGATCTGAATGAATCAAATATTCTCATTGAATTCTTTGTTCTGTACAAAGTTAAATATACTGATAACACAATCACACAAATCAATAGAAATCAAATTTATTAACCAATAGAGGCCTGGATTTGGAGTCACAGAATTAAAGTGAAAAAAACACACTAAAGGCTGATCCAACTTTGATGTAATGTCCTTAAAACAGGAAAAAATTGAGGCTGTGTTGTGTGTGGCCTCATATGACGTTCCTACAATGCATGGCCATGCTCCTGATGAGGTGGCGGATGGTCTCTTGATGGATCTCCCCCCAGACCTGGACTAAAGCATCCACCAACTCCTGGACAGTCTGTTATGCAACATGACATCGGTGGATGAAGCGAGACATGATGTCCCAGATGTGCTCAGTCAGATTCAGGTCTGTGGAACAGGTGGGCCAGTACATAGCATTAAATGCCTTCATCTTGCAGGAACTGCTGACACACTCCAGCAACATGAGGTCTAGCATTGTCCTGCATTAGAAAGAACTCAGAGCCAAACATACCAGCTTATTGTCTCACAAAGGGTCTGAGGATCTCATCTCGGTACCTAATGGCAGTCATGCTACCTGTGGCGCGCATTGGAGGGCTCTGCTGCCCTCCAAAGAAATGCCACCCCACACCATTATTAACCCACTGCCAAACTGGTCATGTTAAAGGCAGCAGATCCCTCTCCAAGGTGTGTCCACACTCTGTCAAGATTGTCACATGTGCTCAGTGTGAACCTGCTTTCATCTGTGAAGAGCAATGTGCCCATGGCAAATTTGCAAATTCCAGAGTTCTTTAGGAAATGCCAGGCGACCTGCACGGCTGTGACCACAACCCTTATCTCCATGAGGTCGGGCCCTCATGCCGTCCTCATGGAGTCTGTTTCAAACTGTATGTGCTGTTCATTTGTGTCCTCAAAGTCTCCTGTTGCTCTAACACTCAGAATAAGACTGGAATGCATGTCCTCAAAGTCATATGTTTGTATAATGGCACAGATTTACCTCAAAAGCCTTTCAGATCTGTGTGAGATGGCACCATGCACATAAAATGTACAAAAAGTTGGGTCAATACATTACTAAAGCTTTATTTTGAATCATTTTTCTTTTTTACAAGAGCAACAGTTATATTGAATAAAATTGCACCAAACAGTGTTGAAATATAGGATGTAAGTTGATTACAGTATCAGACACAAAAGAACTGCCTCTGACTTTGGTGAATTAGCCTCCAAATCATTTAGTCATGAAATTAGACCATAAGGATTTAGATCATACCTCACTTAGATTTGTATTATTTCATTAAGTTAAACTGATATGTTAATGAATTAAAGTTATGACTTATTAAAAAAGTGAATAAATGCTTCATGACATCAATTAAGACTCCTATGGATTTGTACTTAATTAAATATTCTGAACACCTCTATGAGTGAGCTGCGACACTGGCAGCTAAAGATGTGACATTTCTCCACCTTATGCTCGGATTCAACTCATTTAATCTGCATTTGAAACTCTCTGGAAGTCTTTTTGACAGCAGAGGAAATTAATTCATGAGGGATAAATTAATTCCTGATGTGTCTCAGTGGGTGACTTTTTTTTTTTGAGAGCAAAAAAATGGTCACCAAACTCAAGGGATTTGGACAAAGAAGTAGGAGGGAGTCGGTGTGGTTTGGTTCCTGAAACCATCTGACTGGTTAGTGGAGGAGCTCACAGCTTGGCATAATCCTTCAGGATGACCTCCATTTTCTCACTCAGCATGACGTTCCCTCTAACCTTCAGCTTGCCGGCGAAGAACGCCTAAAAAGAAAAGCAAATGTAAATGCATGAAGCCAGGAATCAAATAAAAAGGGATGAAGATGATCCCACTTATAGTCGGGTAGGAGGAATAGTCCCTTCTGATCTAACCCAGCCTCTGATGATGTCCCCTACCCTCGAAATCAACCCAAAGGTGGGAACCTGGAAGCAGCTTCCCTTTCAACTCAATAAACTAATCTTCCCCCAGCTGATCATTTATCAAAGAACAGTGTAGAAAACCCCACCTGAGGGATCTTCAGGGGCTTAGGCTTGTGACTCTCTACAAAGAGCCCACAGACAAACACATGCGGCCCTGAGATCAACAACAAGAGCTCCAGGAAATCAGAAATTCTGCCCAGTGACGACCAATCCCACCGACAGATGGGATGCAACAGACATAACAAGCAGCAACCATTGATTATCTGTGCCGCGAGCTCTCAGAGCTAGCTATGAAAAAACGCCACTTCCATGTTTTATCTGACAAGATGAGATCAGTAAGGACACATTTATGGATCGACGGGTACCTCTAATGAACTTTTTGCCCAATCAGAACTTGCAGGAAGTCATTCAGCGTCACAATGACAATTTAAAATCACAGTGAATTAATAAATATGAGGTAAACGTCGATAAGAGTTTCAGACAGATGAAAAAGATTTAAAGATGGCGGAGGGAGCCATATAAGCATAGTGTGTTACCTTCTGGGGTGCAAGTTTCCCCGTCACCACCTCCATGAAGTCCGCGTCGGACACGGTGAAGGTCACATCGACCTTCCCGCTGTACGGCCCCTTGAGCAAAGAGCCGCTACCGTTCTTCAGATCAATGGCTGCAGGACACAAAAAGAAAGGAATGAGAGCAAGGATTTTAAAACAAAAAACTTTACTCCTTCACAGGAAGACTTCCTATATTCACTTTCTGTAGCTCATTAGGGCTTTAAATAACAGCACTAATAGCTTAATCTACAATCATATGGTGAGCTTTAAAGTATGAAAGGAAATCATGTTATTTTGGGGAATAAAATACCATCTAAAAGTTTTATGAAAAGGTTGCAAAGTGCAAAAAGCTTTCATGTTTTATGAGGTCTAAATAAATGGTTGCAAGTGTCTTAACCATGGCCAAAATCTAATAAGTAAATCATGATAATCTCAACGAAATCACAATGTCTCCAATAAGAGAATAAAAACATTAAATAATTAAATGTGGATTATTTATAATAAACCTCTCTTTTCAAAAAGTTAATGACTTGATCTTCAATAATCACACTGATTCATGTTGTCTCACTGAAACCTGTCAGCAGAAACGGGGCAACTCCCTCCAGCTATTCCAGCTTTGACATACCCAGAAATTCTGGGAGAGGAACTGGTTGACAACAATCTTTCAGTCTGACTTACTGATTAGTCCAGAGTCAGTTAATAATTAGAATTATTTTAAACAATCAACCCTAAGTTTGCCTCATCCAGATTGTAAAGCAACAAACCTTATTCTGTTTGTAACCCTGAATCATCCACCAGATCCTTACATTCAATTTTTAGATTAGTTCTTAGAATTCCTATCCAATTTAGTGCTAAATACCAACAAGTTCATTATAGTGAGGGATTTTAATATTAATTCTGACATTGAAAGTGTTTGCTTAAATGCAGCCTTTAATGTTATATTAGAAAACAATGGCTTTGTTCAAAATGTCCAGAGTCATACACATTTTCATCTTCATACTTTCAACCTTTTTTCTGACATATTACATTGACTGTGAATAAATAACAGTATTTCAACACTATCCTCTCTGACCCCTTTTTGTTATTTTTCACCTTTTTTTTAAGGGGGATTTCGTTTTTTTTTTTTACATTGGGCCCTTGATTTTACGTTATTACATCACGATCTACTCGCCCATATAGGTTTTGTGTCATTTGGAGCTGTTCTGAAGATATTCCGTTATGTTATATTCAGGTAACATCTTCCTATGGGCAACGACTTTAAGGCACAAGTTATGATCAAGAGACTGTAAGCCCCTGTAAGCCCATGTTATGAATGCTGGTACGCCAGCATTCATAACATGCAGGTGAATCACTGTCCCCCAGACATTCGCGGTTATATTTTTTAAATTTATATCTTTTAAAAATAAAGCAGTGCGTGTATGACGTCATTCGCGCGCCGGACTGGAGTTTTTGTTTTTCTTTATTTAACCTTTGTTTATTCCATGTGGCTTCTGGGCTGTGGCTGTTCTCTTCCTTTTGTTTTTTTTTCTGTATCTTTTCTTTCTCTTTTGATTCCCTTTTGAGGCTGTTAGTTGGATGTTACTTGGTTGTATCTTTTCCGAATATCTTCATGTGACACAACTCTTTTTGGTTGGTTGGACCTTGTTTTATTACGTTAAATTCAGGGGCCAATTTTAAAAAAAAAATGCCGTTCCCCTTTAACTGAGTTCTCCCTCACCCAGAGAATTTTTCACTTTAGCAGGTCATTATCAAATAATGCAGCAATAACATTGATAAAATACGTTCCATTTTCTATCCCCTCTGAACAACACTGTAGAGGGCAAACAAACTTATTCCCCTTCACAAGCTTATGATTTTGTTGACGGGGTCACCTCTTCCCTGCACTTTGCTTTGTACAACTTAGCCCCTATGAAAAAGAAGAACTAATTATTTAGGCTAGCTCCTTGGTTTATTACAGAGCTGCGCACGTTGAAGCTTAATGTTAGAGAATAGAGAATAGTGCTCTTAATGTCAACAAGAATCCTACCTAGACTGGAAAAACAGTCTACTGCTGTATAAAATTACCTTTTATAGAAAAAGAGCAGCATATTTCTCTTCATTAATATAGGAGAATGAAAACCATTTTCTATTAAAAATAAAATCACTGCAAATAGGATTCCAGGTCATGGGTTCAAAAGGTCGAAGAGGGACCAGAGAGGATGTGTGCTCCTACCAACAGGTTCTGGGTCTGGGGTTTCCTACCAATGGGATGTACCAAGGATGCACCTTAACAGGTCCCTTTCTATGTGGAGAAGCAGCAGCTCTTTTACAGACTCTCCAAGGCAAACATCCAGACAGTTGGTAAACCTTTATAAAAAAGTTAAGGTCCTGTAATGTTAGGAGGATATTAATAATTCTCTGAAAAATAGAGAAATTAGTTCCTATTTTAGATTGTTCTATAATATTTTAGGTATTGCCTTAATTCAAAAGGGGTGTCTACATTTCTTCTTTTGGAAGAATATAAAGTCTTGAACTACAGTTTTAGTTGTGTTTCAGGGATAACTTACTCCATTCTGCAACTTTCTTGCCATCCTTGGTGATCTCCCAGCCAAACACAGCATTAACTTTCTTGACCAGCTCTGATCCCAATTCTTTAATACGTCGCCCGATCTCTGCAAACACCAACTCGCTCTGAAGGCCACCTCCCTGCAAAAGGAAAGAGAAACGGACAGACCTGTCAGTCTCCTCAGGTGCTAGTTGAAAATATACACTTATTTTGTCTAAATCAAGGGTTCAAAGCGCTGCTGGGATACCAGGATAGGTGGGATACTTGTGGAAGGAAAATGAACACATCAAACAACCTGTGAAAAACAGCTATGCCAATGGAAGTCCTGCAATTTGTAAAAAAAAAAAAAAAAAAAGCTTTTCAAAGTCAGAGCTCCTCATTTAATTACATAAGATGAATGCAACTAACAACTTCATGAGTCCAAATCTAATTTTCTTTTAACACATTTCTTTCATTTTATTTTTTTCTTATGCTGAGGTTGACGGTGAAGTCAGAAAAATAATCAACATCTGTGATCCGCGTTAGGATCTTAATGCAGGACCGGCATACTTCAGCAGGCTGAGGGTTTAGTGTTCAACATTACTGTAGTTGGAGTTTCATCTGGTGAACACATTGATGCCCTGAAATGAAATAAGATGTCTGCACAGGTAACATTTTATTGTTTTTTTGCTCAATATAAAGGCTGCAATGGCCACTGTTGGTCCGCAGTCTGCCCTTTGAGAGGGAAAGAAATCCTGCTACAAGGAGAATATAATGAAAGGAAAAAGGAGGAGTAATTGACAGTGAAGATATATTTGCCCCTAGGCCCGTCGTGTACCTGAGGGAGATTTTCAGGAGAAGCTTCTGATGAGCCATGTAAGTCCACGTAGGCTCCAGCCAGAACGACGTCACCCGTCTCCTTCACCTGCATAACAGAGATGAGAGCTCATCAGCAAGCAGAAGGAAGAGTGACTTTAAAAAAAAGCTCTGACTCATTTCTACTTCTTTTCTGTGCTCACTTTACACTGGACGTGGATTCTACTGCCCTCCTTCCACATCTCCGTTTGCAGCGACTGACCCGGAAACACGGGCTTTGCGAAGCGAACCTGCCAGAGGATAGCAGATGGGGAAATATGTGATGAAAGGTCTTTTTGTCACTTGACAAACCCCTAATTAGATGTGTCTGGATAGAATTTAATTAAACTAATTAAATAATAAAAAAAAATCTATAAATAAGTCATAAAAGCCTGCATCTCTGCATGCAATCTGTTATAATGGTTTCGATGTTACATCAGGTCTAACAGAGAAACAAGAAGAGGTGATATAAAGAGGGCTTGAAGCCCAGCGAGGTCACACTCACCTTTATAGCCCTAAACCTAGAGGGGTCGTTGTTGGCGAACTGTTTGAGGACGTGTCTCGCAGCAAAGCCGAATGAGCACAAGCCGTGCAGGATGGGAGTGCTAAAACCTGACCAAAGAGCACTCATAAATACCATCAAGAATAAATCAGGCAAAAATTGTTGTTTGAATAAAAACCTAAAAGGAAGAGGGATTCCTGGCTAAAAAAGCATTACAACTTCCACAGATGCTGTGGCTCTCACCTCCCATGGCGGCGAAGCTGGGGTCGATATGAAGAGGGTTCCAGTCTCCGCTAAGACGGTACAAAGCAGCCTGCAACCGTACAGGGGGAAGCAGACATTGTTTAGATTGATATCTTATTCATAAACGTCTCAACTTTGAAATTAAATTATCATAAAGACACCGAAAAAAAATAAGAAGGCCTTTGAAGTGATGCAGTTGAAGTCATTTTAAAAACGCTTCAGGGATTGAGCTCCTTATTCTTTTCCCTCTTTCCTTTTTGCTGCATCATGCAGTCAGCAATCCCTCCTCTGCCACATAGTCACACATATTTTGTCTCAAACTTTATGATTATTTCAGAGTCGAAAGAAAGAGAATCCAGCATGTTCTATTTTCACCCTTGCATCATCAATTCAGCTGATTTATTCTGCAGCAAAACCCACACCGACGCACTCACTTGGTCTCTTGTGGTTGATTCAATCACCACGGCATCTGGTGTGCGCTTGGGTGGAGGCAGAGGAGCCTGGGGGAAAATTAAACAAAAAAGGGAAAGAAAACTGTTAAATAGGATGGAGAATTCATGAGAGTTTTCACAATAATAAAAGTACAAACTGGGATGCCATAAACAGTAAATAAAATTGTGTCAAATCTCCATGAACAGCTGGGAATAGAAGATACACAGACGGGGAAAGTGAGAAATGATGTTTATGGAAAATTTGATTTCATACCAGCAGCATTCTACTATCTTCTAACACAAAATGAGCGGGCAGAGAGTGGGATGTTTATGGCCATGGTACTCATAGATAAATTGCGATTTTTTAAATGCCAACATTAAGTACGAGCCATTAAAGTTGTATTTAAGTAAATATTTGTTTAGGTGTTTTAATATTAACAGAGTTAACAGTCTATTATTTTTCTACTCTACCCTAAGTAACCCCTCCTGCATTGTCCTCAAAAGCAACGGTGAGCTTTAGGAAATAGATTTTGTCCCTCCTTTATCCTTGCTGTGGCGGCTGCTTCTCTCTTGTTATCATTTTATGATCTGTTAGGGTCAATACACCTCAGCTAAAGGAATAGTTCGCTTGTATTTTCTTATTAAATGTTAATTGAAAGTGACAATTAAAAAAAATAAACTCTAATTTACAAACACACTTTAGTCAGATATAGTTTACTTATCTATCAAAGGAGGACAATGTAAACTAATGAGCCTAATAAGTCCGTCCAGCATGTAAATGTGGCAGATCTAGCCACAAAGGCTCATCTATATCCTCAGTTTCTGACAGACTAATGCTAGAAACACAGGATTAAAAAATGAACACCTGAGATTTAAACAAACAAAACCAAAAAAAAAAAAAACTGAAACCAAAATGTAATATTCAGCTATCACCAATTTATGACAGTTTGCAGATTGCCTGTAAGTCGCAATTTTCCTCAGCTCATTATTCCAAGTATAATTAACATCATTTAGAGAAGATTTGTCAGACATAGGATATACTCTAGTTAGACATTCTCAGGGCTAATTAAATTTTTATTAATTAAAGTATTTGACAGACCATGCAAAACTGAATTTATCTAGTTTAAAGACCATAAATGTCCATGCATGAAGCTTTTAGAGAACGGAAGAGCTCCTTCACTAAAACAACTGTTCACCCTAGGTGCACAAAGGAGCTCTACTGCAGATCCTTCCTTTTGTAATATTTTGTATTTCATATATGCTACTTACAACAGGCCCCGATAAGTTTAAATAAGGTTGCACACCTTTTATTTTTTCATTTTAATCTTGAATATAATTTCACTTAATCTCAGTATTCAGTTTATTTACTAACTGCAAAGTGCTTTATTTTCTGACATATGCTTCCCCCCCACCTTGCTTATTGTCAATTTAAACTTTCTACAGCTTTTTTCAATGCATCACATACATTGATACAGCTGAATTTAATAAAGGATACTTCTATTCTAAACTATAAAATGATGCTTGATTAAAATTTTTTGCAGTAATAAAATGAGTCTGAGTCCCTATCCAGTTGTTTAATTGATTATAACGTTTCCAGCGTTTGTATCGTCATTCCACTGTCACAAGTACAGCGCAACGAAATTCACCCTCTGCATTTAACCCGTCCCCGATGGGAGCAGTGGGCTGCCATTGTGCGGTGACCGGGGAGCAGTGGGGGGCTTTGCTCAGGGACCCAGAGTGGCAGAGTGGCAGTCTGTGGAAGTGGGTTTCGAAATCACAGCCTCAGGATTCCAAGCTCTAACCACTAGGCCACCATGACCCCTTTGTTTATTTATGATTGCATAGCTATAGTATTGCCTCCAGATCTCTATTTTAATTCCTTAAAAAAAATACTTAGCATTTTCAGTTTAAAATAAAATCAGACGTTAATTCAAAAAGGAGAAAAAAAGTTTCTGCAAGATATGCTCCTGCAGTAAAAGATTGGTTTAATTTAAGACAATTTCAACAGAGGAACTAATGGAAGTAGTGGGTACTAAATATGAGGACATATATTTTTACATAACATTTCTTACTTGTTCAATTTACCCCTCTATTCACAGACACTTCTAAAGTATGAATGTGAGGAAATATTGGAACAATATGTCTCCTAGATGATAAAAGGTCTACAATCTCTGAAACAATTTCAAGTTTTGATTGCATATAAAATGAATGTTTCTACTTTGCTCCAGCTGATTTGAAGGAACCCAATATTTCTTTAAATCTGATCTCTGAATGCTCCTCCAAACATTGTTTGCTGATACACTAACAGGCTACTCAGGTTTTCATGCACATCTACTGATGGAAATAATTTTCCCGATCCTCTGAAAGATCCACAGAAGATGAAATATTCAGATTTTTTTCTCTCCCTTCTGCATTTTGAGAAGAATAATTGGAATACCTCTTCGTAACGCTGCGCCGTATTTCAGAGCTGGAAGAGTCTCTTGATATTTTCACACTTAAAAAGGTTCGACACTTCACCATGCTCTTTACTTAAACACACAGACTTTTTTTCCTCATAAGCAAACATTCAACACAAAACTCCAACATACTTTGGCTTTATCCGAGCTTCTCTTTCCCCCGAAGCGTCCGGCTCCGACCACAAACACTGAAAACTGGTTGTAGCACACAAGCTCGTTGCCGTCATAGGTGTTCACTGCAAAGCAGAGCAAATGCTGGGATTGTAAAGGATTATTCAACAGAAAACTTGGTTTTGAAGTGGAAAAGAAAAAAAATATATTTTTTACATTTTTATAGGTAGAAATCTTGGGATATTATTCGACTCTTAATTCAAACCCCACCATTCAACTGGTGAAACAAGGCGCTGGTGGAGTCATGCTGTGGGGATGCTGTACTTTAGCAGGGATTATGAACATAATCATCAGGCAACCATAGAAATAAAGTTTGAAGAAACGAGAGTGGAGACTGAGGCTAGTGTCTTCCTCCAGACTCTGGGACCTCGATTCCTAAAAGAATCAAAGAATTCACCTTCATCTGAAAACATTACTTTGGATTATTGAGCAACAGTCCAGTTGCCTTTCTCCTTAGCTCAGGTAAGACCTCTGACGTCTCTGGTTCTGAATGAATATTAATCTGGGGGCTCCTGATGGACCAAAGGATCCTCATGATCTGCAGGTTGTTTTTGTTTTTTGAAGGCAGTTAGCGTAATATGCTAACCAGTCCTATTTAAACAAAATATATTTTACATTTAACACGAGTGAGGACATTTTTATGAATGCCCCCCTGAGTTCAAACACTGGGGAACCTCAGCTCCAGTGTTTTCTAGTTTAAGATGGATTAATTATAGATCAAAGTGGTTTTAAATAACATTCCTCTCTATGGAGTTGTCACAGTATAGTATGAGCCATTCATAGTCTATTATTCTAGTCCCTGCAGACACAGACTGTAAATTAACTTTATTCAGAGGGAACAGTGGGGGTAAAAAAATACATTAAACTAAAGACAAATAATTGTGAAATAAATAATCTGAAATTCTGCTCCATAAAGTGGCATCAAACCTCACCATCCAGAAGGATGACAGCTCCAGATCCTTTATCCAGGACGTCAGCTACGGTGGTCTCAGAGGTAAGGGTACCTGGAGGTAAAATTAAAGACTTTAAATAGGAATATTTAAGATTCATGAACGTATTGAGCAACATTCTAATGCAAGAAGCACCAGTAAGCATTAAACTACTGAGATGCTGTTTGATTTTTGCAAGGTCACTCAATGAGACAATTACCAGAGGGATCAGTCAAAGAGAAAAAGCGACAGATCCACTACGGTTTAAAAGGAGCATTTTTGCTTCCACCATACAGCTCATCTCATTATTAATACAACTTCATACTCGCTGAAATATTCTGGATTTAAATAAGTGCTCATAACGTGTAGCTGCGGGATACAGGCTGTGTTCGGAACAACAAATCTGAGTCACAGCAGGTTAAAACTCTTCCTCAGAATCAAGCAGCTGTGTATAAATATTAAAGTGGTTACCATAGCATCTGAGGATTCCTAAAATAACAACGGAAACAGTTGTTCGACAAGCTAATGGGTCCCAGATTAGTTCTTAGGATTTTAGCTTTAAAAACATGAAATAAATGCTGATAAAATGAGGACAGACTGGGAAGATTTCTCCTAAACAAACAGTAGAAACCAGAATGTTTGTAATTGGCTGTGGTTCAGTCAAAAAACTAAAATGGCAGGTCTTTTTCCACACCGAACACAATGCTCTTCATTGTGGAAGTTGTTACTGAGTGAAGAAAATGCAATCTTAGCCACTTTCTGTAAAAAATAGAAGTTTAAAACTGAAACAGAGAGGAAAATTAAAGCCCAATCCTGCAGGAACAAGCAATCTGTCAACAGTTAACAGGAGGTTGTAAAACAGAAAGATTTATCTGGTTTGTCCTGTTAATGTGTCATTTATTTATTTATTTTTTTATTTTTTTAGATTATTTTTGAACAGGAAGACAGGAAATGGAATTAGAGAAAAGAGGATGACAAGCGCTGAGCCCTATATGATTATTCTGATACTATCCTTCAGAGAGGAAAGTGGCAGAGAGAAAGCTCTGCAACTCTGGGCTTTTATTACCAAATTAATTCCTATTTAATTTAGTTGTATTTAATTTAGCTTTATTTAAACCCAAAGATTTTCTTAAACAGCTCTATTTTTATCCAGAAACTCAAAGGAAAAGTATTCAGATTCTTATTTAAACTTCCCAATTAGAGTCAGATCATGTATCAGAAGCTCAGAACTTTACAAAAATAAAAAAATGAATACATCTGAAATTGGGGCAAGAATCTTATGGCTGCATTTTTTATTTGAATAAAGCACTTAGGATGATCAGTTTACTATCTTCTAATTGAATACTAATATATAGGGCACCTCGGATGCGGGTTGGAAGGCATCCAGTCTTTAAAGGGCTGATTATTCAGCAGCACCTCTAACAAACTCATGACTTAGGCTACGTTCACACTGCAGGCCTTAATGCTCAATTTCGATTTTTTTTTTTTGTGAAATCCGATTTTTTTTTGCGTTGCCGTTCATATTTCCAAATATATGCGACTTGTATGTGATCTCCTGTGTGAACTGCATTCATAGTGTGCATTCAAGTGTCCCGCATACGCAGTAGAGGACGCAATGATGTCACAGGCCAGCGTGCTCTATTTTTACGGAAGTAAACATGGATGTTAGTGCTGGCGCTCATCTAGCGATCTTTTCCAACCATAGAACTCAATCTTTTCAATATGGTTAAACATAAATACTGCTCTCCGCATCATCATCCGCCATGGTTATTGTTTTTCTTGCTGTTTCTGCATTGCAAAGACGCATAATAGTGACCTTTGTCAGGTATTAATGACGTTCAGGTCGGATGAATGTGACCTGACCATTCAGACGCAGGTCGCATTTTAAAAGATCAGATTTGTATCGGATTCAGGACCACATAGCCAAGCGGCCTGGGTCGGATTGGAAAAAATTGGATCTGTGTTGTTCAGACTGCCATGAAAAGATCCGATCCAGGTTGCATATGGGCAAAAAAATCGGATTTGGGTGACTTCAGGCTGCAGTGTGAACGTAGCCTTAGAACTGTGAAAGCTAAAGGCCATGTCAACCCACTAAGTACCAAACAAGGCTGCTCAAATCACTGAGTCATTTTTTGAGAGCATCAGATACATTAAGGGAGATAAACGACCCACTATAGCCCATTGGGGAATACTGATTAACAACTCTGCTCGTATCGGTGTTGAATGTCAATTTGACTTCCTCACAAATGGCCCAATTTCCCTGCAAAGCAAAGACCAAATCATCACGCTGATACTGTCCTGCCTTCTATCTTCCTTCCAGAAATACAAACTCAGTAAAGGAAAATGGGATTTATTGGGTCAGACCAACTTCTTCCACTGCTTTGTTAAGGTTTTTGTGTTGTACAGCTACCTAAAAAAGATAATATGGTCTACTGCTTCTCTCCTCTTGGCCCGTCAGCAGAGGTTTGTTTCTCAGCTGTAAAAATCTACACCAACCTTTTTCTACAAACAGGTGCACATGATTAACAAGGAAAGGTTAGGGAACAAAATGCTTGGTACAACTGTGATGTATATGGGGAGTAAATACCTGAAGTTGGTAGAGGTTTGTAGAGCTCCAGATACTGCTCTCCATGTAAAACCTGACAGAGAGACAACAGCCGTGAAATATATTCACCAGAAAGTCTCATTAGCATGAGCGGTGTACTATTTCCTGTTCTTAGTTCCACAAGATTGTGTGAAATATCACATATGGAAACCAATATGCATCAACATATTTACAAACAGCAAAGCTGTTTTGCAAAAGATCTATATTCTGGGGAGAACTAGGGATGTTTTCTGACCTGTGTAAAGTCGATGTTGAGTCCAGGGACTGAGCTGAGGCCGCCGCCCATGGTGGCTGCCTGGGAGGGGATGACCCCGAATGTTGGGAGGCAGCTGAAGTCTTGATGCCCTTCGTACAGAAACCTGCATTAAAATGTAAAGTGTTAGTGAACAGTCCAAAGAAAGAAGATCGAAATAACTGCACAGATGGCAGCACAAGGCTGCAGCATTTGCTCTACAAAAAGCAATGAGTGAGGCAGCTATTATCATTTATTTCCATTTGAATTCACACAAGTTGCCTTGTTGATATGCGCTGGGGAAGCTACAGGCACTAACAGACTGGGGAGGAAAAGAAAAAATAGGCAAAGACACACCGCAGACTGTCTGGGTCCTTGGTGGACATGCCGACTCCGAGCGCGTAGAGAATGCACTGGGTGGGGGTGAAGCTGAACGAGCTTGTTGGGAGCTTTTGTCCAACAGCTTCGGCCTGAAGAACAAAGGAAATAAAGGGAGAGGTGGCAGGAAATTAATGTTTTTCTGTACACTGAGGAAGACAAAATTAAGTTTTGAGGGTGGATATAAAACAAAACAAAAAGCAAAACAAAATTGAATCCCTGGAGAAAATCGCCAGCAGCTGTTGGAAGTTCTTCACATTGTCATTTATCAAAGATTTATCAACTATTTGGTTTACATTTTATGAGATAGATGAAGCAAAGGGAGTGAATAAATTTAGAGTAGAAGTGAAAAAATGCACAGCATTACTTTTTCATTTATACAAATAATGTGTATAAAAAAGTGTGGTGAGCTGCCTTTATTATTTTACCCCTAAATGAAATCAGATATAGATGCTATGCTACCATATTCCATAACAGTGTTGAACTGTGTGTAATTTGGGCTTGGCACAAACCAAGCTGTTCTTTAAAGGTTCTTTAGGGAACATCAGGAGACAAGCAGCATCATGCAGGAATTATGGCCTCAACATTGAGACTACCAAGACATAATCTGATAGCAAGGAAAGGCTTGCTTTAATCAGAGAGGCTGTCATGAAGACTCTGGAACAATCGTTACAGGAAGAATGCAAGAAGAAATCCATCATTGTTAAAAGAAGGCCAAAAGCTCCAGAAGGGGATCAAGCAAACATGAAGAATAAGGTGCTTTTAGACACAATTAAGGAAATATGAGGGGTGGAAAACTGACATCATACATTCCTGTGAATATACAGAAAAACTTGGTGGTGGAAGGGGGATGCAATGGGACCGAGTCTCTTCAGGAATCAAAAAAGCTGGCCAGGATTAATGAAAAGATGGAGGGATCTTAAAAAAAAAAGTCTTGAGACTGGGATTTTCAGCAGGAAAATAATTCTAAAGATCTATAGTTGAAGTCCAAGCTCGGCTCCAATTAATCTCTGGAAAGGTTAAAAATACTATCTCCATAAAATCCGACTGAGTCTGAATTATTTTGTAAAGAATAATTGAAAAAATATATATATATTTCTACAGTCAACAAAAACAGAGCAAAATAAAAATGCAGGCCACACTTTTCAGATGTGTATTTTCACTTTCATAAACAATCACATAAAAACCAAACAAAACACTTTGAATTCTGCAGCGGTAAAGAAACAAAATGCACAGAACTAAGGGGGTATGAATATTTTGCAAGGCAATGATTTTATACTTTTTTATTTCTATGCGTTCCTTAATTATTATATAATAAATAAAGCACTTCGACTGGCCAGGATTTATCCCGCCTCCTGCCCAAAAACTGCCGGCGGCACCAGCCCCACCGCGACCCTGAATGAATAGGATGGAGAAGACGGATGGATGATTGGATAAATAAAGCATAAGAGTCGTCAAATATTCCTTCTAATTAAAACATTATTTCCAGTATTTAATAAAATTATTTCTGTTTTTCTATTAAGCTTACATCATAAGGAAACTGGGGATAAGTGAAAGAGAGGAAGAGCTCCATTGTGCCACAAAATACTGTTAAATACGCTGATAAGCTAATAAAAATATCAGAAAAACGTTCTGATGAGCCCAGAGGACAACGGGCTTTACATGAAGTAAACATTATGCATATGTTGTAAGACACGACAAAGGACAGAGGATATTCATAAATAAGAGAGTAAAGTAAAATATAAACAAAAGCATTCAAAGTTTCTTAAATATGTTAGCATTGCAAAAGCAAAAACAAGATAGGCTGTTTGCCTTGAAAAGGAAACAAAGCAGTACAACCAGCAAGAAAAATGTAATGAAAGGAGCCCAATTCATTCAGCGCTCCTTAGACTGAGGACTTGAGGGTGGTCTCTCAAAGCAAGGAAAAAATCTGCGGTTCAGGGCTGAGCTCTGGGGCTGGATCAGCACAATTATACAACAAGCAGACAGAGGAGGGTGAGGATTGAGCAAAATTCGATTTGTGTTTGCACTGGGAGCCAACGGGAGACATGAAAATGGGCAGAAACTCCTGAGCTGAACAGTAATTAACTGTTAACGATTCTAAGTAACAAAAGCCTTCTGAGGGATCGATAAGTCGAGGTGATCCGCTGTACTGGAAATACTCTCAATCTGTCGTCAGCCTTCATTTTTAGCACCTCTGGCTGACCTTGCTTTAACTGAAGACTCAAAGTGGTCATGAATTTCCCACTCCAGCTCCAGAGGAAAGCAGATATAGTTCCATCTATTCTTAGCAGACCATCCTAATAATAAATGGACTCTCATTTGTCTTTAAACTCAGTCTGATTTCAAAGGCCTTCCTACTTTTTTAACAAACATAAAATGCCTTGCAAAAGTATTCACAGCAGCTATGAAGCTACAGTTAAGCGATCTTTGGAATCCTTTTGTCATTTTTTAAAGATAGCTAAAGTAAAAGGGCCAAACCATCATCTACGGCCTTCACTGTTGGGATCCATACAGGAATCTCTATCAATTAGATAAATTGGAAGGTCAGTGTTTGCAATGGATTTAGGGGTATCAGTGTAAAAAGGGGTTGATTACAAATGAATGCCACACCTATACAATTTCTTTATCCAATAAAAACCTGAAAACAATTTTTAAGTTTTATTCTATTGTACAATCATGACTCTTTATTCATTTATCGAGTCAAAAACAAAAATAGAAATACTCATTAAGGATAATGATTAAAACCATCTGTAAGGCACTATGCTAATTTACCAATTTATACTTTATGATTATTCCTTGAATGCAAGGAAGGAGTTGCACAAAACCTCTCAAACTGAATTTTATTCTTTTTATTTTTTAAATCTTTATTTAACTGGAAAGTTAAATTTGAAACTAAAATCTTTTTACCTGGCTGAAGCAGCAGCCATAAAACTATATGCATCATGTAGCACAGTTACAATACCATAAATTATACAATAAAATCTAAATACATCATTAAAGTTTAAGTTAAAACTGTGAACTCAAAACAAAAACAATGACATATTGACATATCCTTACCATGTTCTGCAATCGTTCTAATTTGATTAAGAATATTTATTTAAAATCATTGGAAATTATTTTAAAAAAAAAGTGTTACTCTAAAAAATTATCAAAATATTAAAGATATACTTTATGTATAATAGATATTGTGATGAAGGGTTGCTAGCCTTATATTCTAATCAACAATTTTGATAAATGAACAATTATTAACTAAATTTACCAGCTGTGGACCTGGGGTTTGTTTACCCAATAGTAAATGTCAATAATAATCTTAAGATAGAGCTGCAATTATTAATCATTAACCAAACCACAATAAATATCTCTATTATCAAAGCCGTTAGCTTCAAAGGGTTGTTTAAAGCCTTTACAAACAGTAGATCACTCGTACGTCTAAAACTACCACAGACACAACCACTTTATCTATGATCATGTCAAATGTATTAAAAACAATCATTTCCACTTTATAAGCACTTATTCTGTTCAGGGCTGCTGAATGAGAACACACAAAATCTACCATAAGAGGAAAGAAAAAAAAAGTAATCAGTACATTTAATTAACCAGGATAGCAGCCGTTCTTAGATAATTAAACAATTAATCAAGATTCAGCTTAATTTCACCGCTAAAGGAGATAAGAAATAAACACAGCTTTGGGTGAATCTGGAATGAGAGGCAAAATTATAGCAGGACACCAGTTTATTCACTTCAATTCAGTTTATTTATAAAGCGCCAATTCACAACACATGTCATCTCCAGGCACTTTCCAGAAACAATTCAACCAGATCTTACAGTCAAGTTGATTCAAGGTTTTCCGTCTAAGGAAAACCAGCTGATTGCATCGACTCGTTGACTTGAAGGTAATCCATCACACCAAGCATGCTTGGAGACAGCGGAGAGGAAAACCTCTTTTTAAAAGGAAGAAACCTTGTATTAATTAGAAAAGCTAGACACCTGGCAGAGCTTTCACCAGCCATGCATCACCTGAGGTGTAAAAGCTGCAGGGCATGCTGGGAGATGTAGTTACAGTATTTTTTATGTGCAGCTAAGCACAACGGCTGCATCTATTATGATAGTGCTAGACCACAGAGTGTGCTAAAACCTAAACTATAGTTATATTTCACCACAGAGAGTGAATGAGTCAAACAGAGCTGGAGAGGAATGGTGGTTTGGAGCGGCTCATTCATATCAATCAGAGTTATTAAATGTGGGAAAATATATCCAATTATCACACCTCTGTGGTGACATAACAGTCACTGTTCTACTGCAGCAGCTGATCTGTCATATTAATGACCGCGGAGCCTCGGCTTAAAACAATCCTGCTTGGCGGAGGGCTGCGATTCACTCTGCATAATATCACCTCTCAGTTGGTCAGAAATCACCATAAAGCCTGGCCTCTGGAGGCCCACTTTTAATTAAAACTGCATTAACATGCAGATGTGGGGAATGGTGTGCTTTCAGAACTGCTCCCACACTCCTTTTTGGTTTCATTTTATATGCTTTCATGTGTTCACACAGAGATTAATGCCACAGCCTCTTGACAATATCAGGAGGGGGGTCTAATATGTAATCAAAATTAATTTAAGGCTGGGAAAACATTTTAAAGGCTCAATAATTTATTAAAAACTACAAATACTGTGATATTCACTACATAGCATGTTTACCTCAGAAGACATGACAACCAATAACTATTGCATACAGGTCTTTATATATCCAACTCTCTTTATAGCTGCATTCCATAGCTAACAATTTATAAATCCACTAATATTTAACTAGTGTTAATACAGGTCCTTATTAATGAGTAAAACTGTTCGCATATTATAAAAATCAAAGGTGTTTTACTGCATTTTGTGAAGTAGAACCAACACATAATTATGAATAATTAGAAAGTGAAAGCAATAAATACTTTGAAAGGGAAAGAAATAATTACTTTTTACAATTTTTTTACATAAAAAAAAAAACATCTAGAGTATTGCCCATTTTTTTCTCTGATATCCTTAAAATAAAAACACAGGACTGCCAATTTATATAATTTAATATGTTACAAAATTTCAATGCTAAAATTGAGCCCCTTTATCATCGAGCTGTAAAATATAACAGCCTGACCACAATGATAGGGGGGAAAAAACACATTTTAACTCCTGTTTGTTTCTACTTTCTTCAGTTTTAATGGACTGCTTTAGTAGATGGAGTGTGTTGCATCTGGATTGCATAGCAGCGTTAAACAGAAAAGCATCTGTGATATTCAACATGCCGTGATGTGAAAGCAGCGCAGAAACAAACTCTGAATAATACAACACAGTTATTTGCATGGGAAACTACAGCCGGTAATCATCACGCAGCCTCTCTGAAACTCTGTAACCTCCTTACTGCCTTTACGTTCGCCTCCCAGCGATTAAACCAAACACATGCAACCATTTAGCTCCAGCAGACAGTTGTGCACTTAGAGTGGTGCATGTCGTGAGATAAATACAAGCACAGCGGCACCACGGCTTGGCTTGACTTGAGCAATGCGCTGCACATAAGGACAAGAATACAAATACAACAAGTGAAGTGGCACACACATACACACAGACCCACACACCCTAATGAAGACACAATGAGGACGTTTGTCTAGAGGCTACAGTGTGACTCTCTTCCAAATCCCAAGCAGGCAGAATAAACACAGCGAGGAGGATGGAAATGAGAGAAGGATTCATTTCAGGAATGATTCCATGAAATCTTTCCATTAATGTGTTTTTGCTTTTTTTATTTTTCCCCCTCTGCTAACGTTCCAGTGTCTTTCTTCTGTCTTTATAGTGAGATGAAAGTAAAGCTTTTGACCCTGCAGCTTCTAAATCAATGCAACAACAGTTTCTCAAATTACTCAACCATGTTAGACTAAAAATGTTAGGATGAGGTTAATGTTGTTATTTTAGGTCCAAATGTGAATTGACTATTGCATGCTAAAAGCCTAAAGGAGAACGTTGAGGCTCAAATAATTTCTCATGGTAAGATTTCACTTGTGATGCTAATGTTTAATCTAAGTAACTGCAATGAGTGAGCTGTCACTGGCTTGGCGTCTGAGGATCAGTGAACAAACATCTACTGAAGGCAGATACTCTGCTGTGCGCCGACTCAACTTCTCAGATTTGCAGGGGATATGAGCATTCCTGCATTAAGCCCTTTGCTCAAGAGGGTATTATCATCCCTGACTTTATACTGTGTGGGGTTATTGCAGAATTATGAGATTTGGTGTTCGAAAGAGCCAGAGAGTTTACAGCTGTCTACTTTCAAAAGTCATGGCTTTTGTCGTCACACCTACGGGCCAGAGGGGGGAAGCCTTAAAGCCTCCTTGTAAGTACATCCAACATAAGAAAAATAAAGCAAGCAGAGATACCAGAAGACACTTGTGTTTCAGACTTAAGTCTTTACCTTATCCTATGTGTACCTTTTGAATGCATGTTTGCTTTTTAACACCAGCCAGGAGAGAGATCGAGAACTGAATCTGCTTTCATAAGAGCAAGAACTAGAGATGCACTGATCAGACTTTTCCTGGAGGAGATAAACTTGCAATTTTATTTTATATCTGACTCCACAATGTTTTTTTTTATTTTCAGGAATTAAAAAACTAAACTGGAAAAAAAAAGGGACGGCAGGTTCTTTAACAGACGAAGATCAATCCAACAGAACATGACGGATTTAATAGATTATCTCCATCTGTGAACCAAAGTATCATCCCCTAAACTTTACTTGATTTTTACTAAACACAAAAATCATTGTTAATAAATTTACAGACTAAAATTAATATTTTGATTGATATGATGAATAAAAGAGAAATATATTTTTTTTTTCCACGTCTAATCTTACTATTGCTGATTGTAGAGTCAAAGGAAAGAGTTAATCATAAAAATGCTCACGCAGTTGGCAGGTTTTTCCTTCTGAAGATCAACTCTGTGTCTGATTCATGCTTCTATTTTTTATTTATTTATTTATTTTACTTCTGAACAAAACACATGATTGTTAGATTCCTCCAATTAGGGTTGATTCTTTAAAGCACACCTTGGGAACTCTGATATCTTTAGTTTGTTTCTAAAAGTAAAAAAGGTTGCTTCAAACTTTCTTTCTCAATCACCTTTGACATTTTTCTCTATTTTGGTAAAGCCTTTTTTTGTGGATCATTTTCTTTTTTTTTTAAACCTAGCTTGGAAAACTAGAAATTCATTGCTATATAGCTTTTCTCTTATATAACATATCCATTCTTGGTATTCACAAACAAAAACAAAAAAAAAGAAGGAAACCGATCACCGATCTATGACTGTCAACATGTAAACCAGATCAGCACTATCCTGAAATCAATTTCCTGTTGCATGGATTCACTGCCAGAATGCAAATAATCTCTCATTGTTAACAGAAATCTGACTGAATGTCTGGATCAGATACGAACACCTCTACCTTTGACTGAGGCTACAATCGCCTTTTCAGCTCCTTCTTCTGATAAGTTTATCCAAACCAACATCTGTTCTTCACCATGTGCTATTCATCTATTGATTTAAGTCCTGCATTTATGATGAGAATTTAATCTGCAAGGTTTTGCTTGGGTTTGAAACATTCAGTAAGGCTTTTAGGTTTCCAGATGCACTAATTTACAGTTTGGGCCTAAAGAACCACAAAAGATTACCTTTTTTGATGGAAAAACTTAATGCAGAATATTAAGGAGATCAGCTGACCTCATTTTTTCCTGGAGCCTCATAATATTACTACACCAGAAAACGATTCGATGAAGAAGAAATATCCCAGGCTTGTTGCACGGTGGTGAAATTCAGGTGCATCAGCAATAAACTGAGCACAACATGCAGATACTTACAAGAGTAAAAAAAAAACATTTAAAATTAAAACAAGAAATTGTACAGCAATGGAAAATTTACAACATCAAGATGTGAATATTCTACAGTTATTAAAAAAAAACACTTAAAAACTTTAGTGTGCAACCCGATATAGCAATCTTAAAAATTGTGCAACAAGTAAATTTATGCTTAAATAACACCGTTAGAATATTTACAGGAATTCCACAGACCCAGCAAAGACAGCAGGAAGGTATTGATGGTTAAAAAGGGCAAACAGCAACTGGGAGGAAGGATCTGCTATAGATCTTCTAGGAAGTCTGTCATTAAAGCATCAGTAGATCCAGGTCTCACTTTTAACTTCATCATTTAAGCCTGAAAAAACATTTATTTCAAAATTGGCTTTCCACACAAACACATACTACGTATTTGCTTTATTCCAGCACCTTATATGAAACCAAGTTTTTCGCTTGACGTTTTAGTGATGTGTGTAAAGCCACCTCGAACACGACACAACTGAGGAAGCTCTGTTTATTCAGAATGTCGAATTATAATCGACTGAACTGGAAACAAAGAAACTCTTTGGTCAGTCATGGTGCAAATCTCAACGGCCAAAAAAAAAATCCCTAAACGTTTTTGTGATGTAATACATTTTATTTAAAATTACTGTGATACATTTTGAATTAAAATGTTAAAATTTGATTCAAAGGAAAAGGAGCAGAAATTGTTACTTTACTCACAGGATTAATTCCCGACCCTGAAATGCTGGAGGTTGCAGCTGCTGTTGGATTTGCACCGACTTCTCCATCAGACTCCACTTGAGACAGAACGCTCACAACAGAATGCAAAGACTCTGCAGACAGGAACGAAGCAAAATAAGGACATAGATCTAAGACTCTTCTAAATACTGGAAAAATTTAGTAATGATACTATGATGGTAGGAGTTATATTTTATAAACAGGACAAAGAAACTGGCCTTTTTCTGCATCAATCTAAGAATACATTTCACACATTTTCTTTTTTTTTCCTCCTTATTGTTTTTGTTTTTTTAGATGTTTTTGGGAGTTTTTACTGCACTAGTGGCTGTTTTTTTTCGACAGTAGGCTGACAGGAAAGAGGGTATGAGAGAGAGGAAGAGACATGTGGGAAAGGACCACAGGCCGGATTCAAACCCGGGTCGCCGGCGTCGAGGACTGAAGGGCAGATTATACTTCTGCAACCCACACATCAAATGTCGCTTGGGTCTGGTCGCAAACCAGTTTTGCTGGTATGCTTCTGCAATGTCTGTCTGGAATTTCAAGGGATGCACAGCAGTTTCCAAAGCCAAAGTGCTAGGCTCCCCCTAGCGCTTTGGCGCGTCTGCAAGATATCACGGTCACGGAAATGGATCTAGAGTTGCGAGACATCAAAAACGATATATGTATTTATATAATTATATATAATTCTGAGATTTTTCCGAACCTCCTCGATTAACCTTTTGTCATAGTTGTCCATTGTTCCTCGGTTTTTTAAATATGGCGCGCCCCGGCACTGAATCGAGGAGGACGACCACGCAGACAGCCGAAAAGGCATACCAAGGACCAAGCACAGCCGCTTTTTGTCTGCGCACTTCCACTTGAGGTCTGTGCGGGTTTGTGACTGTCTGATGTGCAGTCAGGATTTTTTTGCACAGAGACAGATTTGACGTTGCAGAGGCTATGCGTCAGAAGCACATTTTGGCCTTAAGGCATCCATACATGGGTTGTGCGCGCTAACCACGGCGCCACCTGCACGCCCTGACACGTTTTTTTTTAACTTGCTTCCTAAGTAGTGTAGTGAAGTTTAAACTGGTGGGTATTTTTACCCAAAGTTTGTACCTTTATCAACCTCAGATTTCTGTAAAGAAATTACATTTCACTAGTTGTTTTTTTTTTTTAAATAAGATGATAATAATAATATTCAGAAAGAATTAAATGAAAATCACATTTTGATCAAACATATTTCACTGTCTGTGTTATGATGAGAAAACCACTACAGACAGATCACGAAATCCCTAAAGAGACTGTAGGAGATTCATTGGTGGATGTGAAAAATGTGCAACTTTTATTGCAACATTTTGGCTGGAGCAATATTGATTAATGAGATTAATTAACTTCAAGAACAAGAATAAAGTATAATTTAAAACTTAAATGCTGGAGATCCATCTCCATACTGATTTCAAAGCAGCTTTAATATAGTGAACACTTAATCATTGTGAAATAAAAAAAATCCTAAATCGGTAACTTCTTTTTTTCTGCAGGAGTGGGCGGCCAAATATAAATGATTAAAGGATTTAAACTCTTGGAAATGTATAGTTTTATGTAAATGCTGAGGCAACAGTTCAATGAAAGACAGTATAGATGCAGCTTGAAAAAAGGTTCATAAAACCTCTTGTTTTCATCACTAAAAGCAGAGTGTAAAAGCATTTCCTCTGGGAAGAGATTTCAATGTCTATGCGTACTGAGACAACACAAGCGGAAGGACGAGAGAAATCAAGAAGCAGAATCTGAGGGACGATTTAAAGCTGCTCATTAGAATCAATCAGTGGCGAGTGGTTACCGAACAGGCAGCAACAAGTCTTCCTATTAAGCTACAAATGAGGAGCAACAACAAAGCCATGCTAATGAGACCCACTCACATCCTGGGGGAACGCCACCCCCGTTCGGTTCACTTCAACAGAGCCTCCCTCCCCGTTCAACTTAACATCTGAGGACGCAGAGAGCAGGGAGGAGGAGGCGCAGAGAAATAACAATCAGGATTCGACAACCCTCTTCGTTTGCAACACACTTTCCCAGAAAATTGCACCTGCTCAGGTTCAACGTTGTTTCCACCTTGACTCGTTCTCTCCACCTTCTATAAACACTGCTTCTTTATTTTTGAAAGGTAGCAGGTGCACTGAATAAAATAAAAATAAAAACGGATGCCACTTCAGAAAAGAAGTGCCGTGGACTTCATTTAGTGTCCACTCAAATTCGCAGCATTTAAATTCAGAATGACTTATGATTCAAAAGGACATTTAAAGTAATTGTCAAATTTAGTTGAAATTTAAAATAGTTTAGCCTCATATTTGTACAGACAAAATGATTGCAGATTGTAAATAGAGTAAAAAATTGGCCTCAGTTATTACTGACCTTGTACATTAGCCGGCTTGGTGGCGTTTTTAAAATCACAGATAGCGTCCCACTGGTCCCGGACCCCCTCAGGGGTCATGGGTTTGTTTTTCTGTCTCACAATCCCGCCCTGAGTGCGCTCCCAGCGTACTGCCAAATGGATACACATAAAACGAGGAAAAAAGGGGGTCAGTGCCTGGTGAAAATCCCATGCATACATTACAAAGGCGCCTGCAGCTAATGAATATTACAAACACATGTCGACATCACCTCAGGCGAACTACAATACTCACATTTACCAATCCACCCTGCACCGGCCTGCATGAAGATGAAACATTAAGATGAACAGTCACACACTGAGATAAAAGAAGACGAAGCAAAAAAAAAAAAGGCATCTTATAAAGGCTTTTATATTGGAGTGAAAATATTTTACCTCAAACAGTCCTCCGTTCTCTTGGCATTGTTCATGACACAGCCAGAGCACCAAAGGTGCAACATACTCTGGCTTCAGAGATGCCACAAGGTCTAAGAACACAAAATACACATTAAACATGGAGCAGCTTGTTATCCAATAATTCATCTACAAGTAGAACCTGTACAAACCACAGACAGGGAGATGGAATGATATTAGGACAAACAGGTGAGGGATGAAAAGATGAAAGAAAGGAAGAATGATGGACAAATAGGTGGAAAGACGGAAGAGCGGCACAGACAGATGGGAAGACAGGGGGACAGATGAGCAGAGATAATGGAAGGGGAACGAACTGATGTGTGACCAGATGGAAGAAAGAATAAACGGATGGATGGATGGATGGATGGATGGATGGATGGATGGATGGATGGATGGATGGATGGATGG